TCACAGGAAGAGCAGAAAGTACCTCCTTGACATTATGGCAACATCTCTTTTCAAATTGAAATTTCTTAGTTCAAAGCCTAGGAATGCGAGAGCATCCCAGTGAAACGATGGTAAACATATTTACAACACATTTTTCCCTTGTTCTACATCAGAACAAAGGCATTCCTCCCCCACTAAAGAAATAAAAGGGCAAATCCAAAAGCCCAGGGCCTGAAAACCTGGGGCCAACATGCCAGTGTGACAAGCTACTGAAGAGGAAAAGTTAAGCAAGTCACTGCTACAAGCTCCACCTTCAGCCCCACTTACCCAACTTTGAAAATAGACATTTGCTCCAGCAAATAGATAAGCTGCCCCCATCCCCAAGCTGAAAGTTCGTTTTGGCACTAGAATTGCTCAGTAATTCTGCCCAATATAACAAGACTGCAAACCATCTTCTGTAAACCCCTGACACAACAATGCCCAACATACAGAACCATTTCATCTTGGCACTCCTCTCAAAAAGCATCGAAATTGGACTTTCCCAGAGAGAGGGGATCCCAGATTAGAGCTATAACTTAAATCTGCATTAAGGCCAGTAACTGCTGGATACATTTATGGCCCCGGATCCATCCATCAGACTGCCATTTAGATGTTCTTTCCAAGTGGTTATTGCTTTGCATTTGCAACACTTTAAAGCTTACTAGAAGTTAACATTATCTACAGCTCCCATCCTATGGTTTCCCAAAGTAACCACTAAAATATTCAGACTGGTGCACATGTTGTCTCTCATTATTTCTTCTAATAAACGGACCACTGTAGTTTACTTGGGAAGAAAGTATGTGGGCCAGAAGGCATATGGGAGTCACAGAAACCCACAAAACTAAGGCTGCAAAGGACTCCAAGAGCTCGGCTATCATCTCAATGGCATCTTAAGGTTACATTACTTAAGCAGGACAGTCCCAGTGCATGTCCATAACACCATCATACCATCTTCCAAGTTGCACCACATTTTTGGTTAACGTATCTCTTGTACTTTCCCAGTACAAGATAGACATGGAGCTACTGTAAAGAGTCCAGCAAAGGGCCTAGAATCATAGAATAGTTAGGGTTGGAAAGGACCTTAAGATCATCTAGTTCCAACCCCCCTGCCATGAGCAGGGACACCACACACTAAACCATGTCACCCAAGGCTCTGTCCAGCCTGGCCTTGAACACCGCCAGGGTTGGAGCATTCACAACTTCCTTGGGCAACCTATTCCAGTGCCTCACCACCCTCACTGTGAAGAACTTCTTCCTTATATCTAACCTAAACTTCCCCTGTTTAAGTTTAAACCCATTACCCTTTGTCCTACCACTACAGTTCCTAATGAAGAGTCCCTCCCCAACATCCTTGTAGGCCCCCTTCAGATATTGGAAGGCTGCTATGAGGTCTCCACGCAGCCTTCTCTTTTCCAGGCTGAACAGCCCCAACTTTCTCAGCCTGTCTTCATACGGGAGGTGCTCCAGACCTCTTATCATCCTCGTGGCCTCCTCTGGACTTGCTCCAGCAGCTCCATGTCCTTTTTATGTTGAGGACACCAGAACTGGACACAATACTCCAAGTGAGGTCTCACAAGAGCAGAGTAGAGGGGCAGGATCACCTCCTTCGACCTGCTGGTCACGCTTCTTTTGATACAGCCCAGGATACGGTTGGCTTTCTGGGCTGCAATCGCACACTGCCATGAAAATGTTTAAGAGACTGGATCATCTCTCATAGGAGAAAAAGCTGAGAGGGCTGGGACTGTTTGGCCTGGAGATGAGAAGGCTCAGGGGAAGGGATTCTTATCAACGTATATAAATACCTGAAGGGAGGATTGCAAAGATGACAGAGACAGGATCTTCTCACTGGGGCCCAGCGACAGGGCAGTGGGCACAAAGTAAAACAGGAGGTTCTCTCTGAATATCAGGAAACAGTTTTTCATCATGAGGACAACCAAGCACTGGCAAAGGCTGCCCTGAGTGTCGAGTCTCCCATGTGGAAATATTCAAGCTGTCTGGACACAGTCATGGGCAACCACCTCTAGGTGGCTCTGCTTGAGAAGGTGGGTTGGACCAGATGTCCTCCAGCAGTCTCTTCCAATCTCAACAATCCTGAGTTTCTGAACTATCTGTTAGGGATATTCTTTGTTATCCCCAACGATCTTAGAAGTTCAGATATCATAACATCTGAAGAAGTCTTTACAACATATTTTCAGTAAGATAAGACTTCATCTCTCTCCTCTTCCTTCCCGAAGAAGCTGAAAAACATTAATGTTTTGTACTCACTGAGCCCAATGTCCATAAAAAAATAAAATAAGAGGAAATATTCATTTGACTTGCTTCCAAAAAAGCAATTAGATGAAAGAAATATATTGAATAGAGTATTTTACTGGCAGGATGACTAACAGATCAAGAACACTTATTGATCTTCAGTCTTATACCCAAACAGCTCAAATTATATCAAACTTTAACTCTGCCCTCGCCTCAGGGCCACTCAGCCTCTTTCAAAGTACCTTCATGGGGTCTTACTAAGCATGAATTAGTTAATGAAAGACTTTGAAGTCTCAGGTAAATGTGCCAATTTACCCAAGAGTTCCCTTTACTGGCTGGTGATCAAAAGAGAAGACACTCATGGGAAGATGTATCCTGGAACTTTATGACCCAGCTGATAAAACTTCAAGCCCAAAAAGCTGAGCTACTGCCAGAAAATCCTCTCATCTCAGTGAAATGTTGCCACTGGAGCCTACAGCATCATGTTCATACCACCACAGGCAGAAACCCACCACTCCATGAAGCTCTACTGTACTTCTCTTAGGGCTTCTTTTTCTGACCATATTCTGAATCTCAACAGAGCAGTCAGATATGGACAAATACCTTACTTTTCACCAAGCTTCTCAAGGTTACAATGCTCATGTAAGTATTGAATTTACAGTTCTATATTACCTTTTCACTCTCTGTTCTACAGAAATTAAATGAAGCCAAAAGAGAGACGTTCTCAGAGGGTAAGCCACAACAGACACCATACATCAGCAGTTACTGCCTAGATATACACCATGCTATAAATTCAAAGTAACCTGAGCTAGTTTATCCTTGAATGAAATAGGAATAGTTTGACTGACTTTCCTGAAGAGTACGAACACGGAACAGGAGCATTTAAATTTGAAAAAGTGACAGACTAAGTTTCCACTTTTATTTACTCACCAGGTAACACTTTTGGGTTTTCATACCCTAAAGCAGAATCTAGGATGCACACACTGGAGCAGGCATTTGGTTGTGTACTCACTTTCAGTCAGTAATCAGTCTTTAGATAAAACAGCTTAAACAGCTTAGACCTCAAGTTAAAAGGCAAAATACAGCAAATATGCATGACAGGGAGAAAAGTAAGTCAGAAAAGGAGAAATACCAGTAACAAAACCCTCAAAGCCTCTCCTGAGTAGGGTAGGAAACTGTATATCACATTTTCTAAACATTTAAGTTCTTTAGCACATAATTGTTTCAATGTATCTTCTCTGTCATGGGTGCCCTCCCTCCATCATTCCAGTGTTCTTGGAAGTATCATTGTGAGTCACATGCATGCACCAAAAAAGGAGCTTAGACCATGTCTATTTAACTGAAATGGTAAAGAATTATTAAAAGACTGAGTTCCAAAACTGCCCTTCTGGACAAGACCACTTGCCATAAGCCCAGCCAGGGTAAGAGGCAATAGCTGTGGGGAAAGGGAATGACCAAGTACAGCTGAGTTATCCTGAAGAGGAGATCTCCTGGGAAGGGAGGAAACCAGTATACCCCTGCAAACCTGCCCAGGAGTTAGGACACTTCTTTTCCCCAGCTCATTTGTGTTGCCCTTCTCAAGCTTTTGGACAGATGGGGGACAGCCCTACACCTGAGGACACAAGGCAACAAAAGAAAACCTGCAATAATACCCGCGTTCAAAGGCCTTTGCTTGCCTGTTGTACGCATGAAATAGGCTCCCCACCACCCTGGGCAATAACAAGTGACTGTTAGGACTGATTTTACTGTTATTAGTCAATTATACAATACCATACAGGACATGATCATATTAGGCACTGAAGAGGTTTAGAAATGCTTACCATTTGTTTCAATCTCAGTGTGAATGGAGAGTGTTATGGGGGGGGTTTAAGCTTCATTTTCTAAAGAAACCAAGCCACAGACCCAGAGTCTCACCTTTCCCTTCACCCCAGACACACAGGAGGTTTCACAGAGACCAACTGCATCTTACCAGTAAAACTCAGCAGTCTAGACAAACTGAGCACCATTTAACAAAGAGACAATAATCTCAAAGCTTTCAGATTTCTTACTGTAGGAAGGAAAGAAAGGTGAAGCTCACATAAGAGAGGGCTACTCTGCTTGTGAACTTTTACATATCTAAAAAACCCCAACCCCATACAAGACAGACTTTATTAATGTGCAAATACTGGGCAGACTTCACTTGGAGTTTCTTTTTCCTCCAGCTACTAAGTTATTAGCCATAAAACACAAATTCACAGGCTTCCTCACAGTGTTTGTGGAAATAAAATGTTAAAATTCAATTCAAAGATACACTACTGGTTGAAAGAGCCTGCTTTGATGCTTTTATTTGTAGCATTTCAAATTGTGAAATAGCCTCTTACTCAGACTTTATCTTCCTATTGCAGAGAGGTCAGATTTTATTATTTTAATTATGTTTAATACACTTCTAATAGTGAGCCAGATTCTCCTTTCTAATTAGGTCTAGCAAATAATAACTGAAATTGAACTGATGATACTACAGTTTTGCTAAACAAATAACTGAAGCTGGAATAATAGTTACATGTTTCCAGAAATTAGCACTGATATCAATAGCACCTTATTCTGGATGATATAGATAAAGTAATTATATGAGTTAAAAACAATTAAAGTATTTCTCATTTATTTGGCTGCTCTCCATACTCAAAAAACCCAGTCCCTCAAACAGCTGACCATGCTTGTCACTGAAGTTGGGACTTATTAAGCAATCAACTAACCTTAGAGGATTTTCTTCGGCTTCTTCTTGTCCAAACCACCACTAGTTTATCTGGCTGCCTGTTGAAGATAAGGAAGAAACAGCTTAATTTACAATACGATCCATACGTAAACAGTTTATATTAAAACTCTTGCAATACATAATGACATCCTTAGTGGATACATTATCTCTTAAAAATAGCTCATCTAAAAACCACTCTCTGCATCAGTCATTTAACAGGAAAAATAACATGTATTTATAGAAAAAGGCTGTCCTCCAGTCTGGACACTAATATTATCGTTCTCTTCCTGCTCTCCTTGCATGTGGGCATCTCCCCAGAGCCAGCAGCACATCTGAGCAGAAACTCATCCATTGGGCAGAGAACAGTATCCAGCCTCTTTAAAGACATGTTGGAAACAATCTGGTACCCAAAATTGACATCAGTGCAAACAAGAGTTTGAATTTCTATGCAGACATATTGAAAAGGTACTGTCAATTAGCAAAGAAAACAAGCAATTTCACTTCATCCCCAAAGGATTACTTTTCCTACTTGAATACCTCAAACAACAAGAGAATCAAGTCCTATATTACGCCTTAAAATCTCCTTGGATGACCACAGATGGATAAATCAGTGCTTCTCCAACTATAACTCAGAAGGACAAACCTGCTGAAACTCAGTGGCTCTCTAAGCAATTTTTTATTTGGTATTTGTAATGAATGTAGATAGAAACCCAAAAAAAGGTCACTTCCAGCACAAATTATTTTCTCTTTAAATGTCTGAGGATTTATTTCTTGGTTAATAGTTACAGCCCTATTACTTCTACCTTATTAGTTTTACAGTTGTCTCCGAGTGATTTTTGATATTGACTTAGCTTCCAGGTGGGGTTTTTTCTGACCATGATACACTTCCCATTGTATGATCACACTTCTGGTCCCACTTCCAGACCCATGACCCCTCTTCCGGAGTCTCCTGACCCTCCATTCCAGTTTTGTTTTCTGGCTGATGACCCAAATTCCATCAAAAAGCCTGACTGCAAATCCAGCCAGGCTTCTTGAGGGAATCTCCACTTAGAAGTACTAAACCTGCAACTCCGCCTAGGGG